GGGACTTGATCCCGGGACTCCAGGATCATGACCTGAGCCAAAGGCAGTTGCTTAAAACTGAGCCACTCAGGTGCCCTGGTAAATTTTCTTTAAAAAACTGGGTCACATTGGACTCTCTGCTCCGCAAGTAATTTGCTTGAGATTCTCTCCCTCTGCTCACACTCACTCGTGCTCTCTCTCTCAAATAGATAAATAAAATCTTTTAAAAAATACACATTTGCAAACACAATTTTGCATACAATTTCATGTAATTTATAGACCCTGAAGTTCATCCATGAGCTGCCTAGGAATCTAAGAGCCCAGGAGGGATTCCTAAAGTTTGTGGTTAAGCCACAAAACACTTCACTCACTAGAATGGTTACAATAAAAAAAGTCAGACATAGTAAAACAAGGGTTGGCGGGGGTGCCTGGGTGGCTCAGTCTCTTAAGTGTCCATGTCCATGCTGGACATGGAGCCTACTTAAAACCAAAAAATTGGGGCTGGTGAGGCTGTGCAGAAATTGAAAATTTCATTCATTGGTGATAGGAATGTAAAATGATGCAGCCACTTTGGAAAACAGTGTGATAGTTCCTCAAAATGTTAAACATAAAGTTACCATATGACGGAGAAACTCCACTCCTAGCATATCCCTCAAAATGAAAACATACGTCTCTATAATATCATCATTCAGAATACTCCAGAAGTGGAAACAAACCAATGTCTCTCACTGATGAGTGGATAAACAAAATGTGAGATATACATCCATATAAAGCAATACTTGACAATAAAAAGATACTTGTTAAAACATGGATGAATCTTGACAACATTACGCTAAGTGAAAGAAACCAATCACAAAAGACTGTGTATTATATAATTCCATTTATATAGAATGTCCAGAATAAGCAAATCTATAGTGACAGAAAGCAGATTAGTAGTTGCCTAGGGCTAAGGGATGGAGGGAGAGGGAAGGGAGAAAATGAGAAGTGACTGCTAACAGGTAAAGGTTTATTTTGTGATGATAAAAATGTTCGAAATTTAGAAAGGTCATAATGGTTGCACAACTCTGTGGATATACTAAAAACAAATTGTACACTTTACATGGGTTAATTTTATGGTATGTGACTTATACCTCAAGTAAAGATGTTAGGAAAAAAAAAAGCCATGAAACAGATTGCTTGGGACAGAGCCCCTGAGTAGGGTAACAATGGGAATGAGAGTAAAAAGATGTTAAGGCAGAGAATGCAAACTTAGAAGTCACCTACACACTAATGACAGGTGAAACACGTTAAACTAACTCTTACAAGAGGGCCAGAAAAACTGAGAAATTAAAACAAAGCTGAGAGGGATTCCTACTACTGCTGAGAAAAATCAGAGACGGCAAAACCACTGAAAAACAGAACAAAAAATATAGTACTACGGTGGGGAGCCTGGGTGTCTCAGTTGGTTAGGCATCTGACTTGATTTCGGCTCAGGTCATGATCTCAGGGTTAGGAGATTGAGCCCCACACTGGCTCTGCACTCAGCTCGGAGTCTGCTTGTCCCTCTTCCTCCCCCTCTGCCCCTCCCTCTGCTCATACACATTCCTGCTCGCTCTTAAATAGATAAATAAATGTATATATATAGTACTGTCACAAAGGTCAAAGAAGTTTAAGGAGAGGTAATCAGTGGTAATAAAAGTCAAAATCATGATATTGAAATGATCTATTATTAATAGGTAAAATGTTCTATTTTTATCAAGATGATATTATTAATCAGATTGATAATACTCTTATTCATCAGATATTCATCTATAATTATAGCATTTTATTTATTTATTTAAGGAGGGAGGGGCAGAGGAAGAGGGGGAGAGAGAGAGAGAGAGAATCTTGAGTAGGCTCCATGCCCAGCACGGAGCCCGTCATAGGCTACATCTCACAACCCTGAGCAGAAATCAAGAGTCAGACGCTTAACTGACTGAGCCACCCAGGTGTCCTTATAATTATGGCACTTTAATCCAAAATTGTTAACAATTTTATTCTACCTATCATGTACTAGGTAAATTTTGGTAACTAAGGTAAACACACAGTACTGAGTTTATTTGCTGCCACAAAATAAACACTACTGAACTAAGCTCAAATAGATGATGTACCAGTGACCTGATAAGGCAGACACAAGTTACATACCTAAGTGTGAACATGTAAAACGTAATTTCAATAGTTTTGACTTTTCAAATCCAATGTGCAATATAATGAAGTATGGTAAAATGTAAAAACAAAATATTTTTCAAATCACCAAGAAATGTCAAACAAACACTGACTCATCTCTTAAAATCAGTAGAACACTGCTTTAAATTTCAGTTATGTTTAGGTTATATAAAAATCACAGATTGCCATTAAGTGGATGTACTCACTGTGTCAGTACTTGGAAAATTAAAAAACACACAGAAAGAACTGGCTTTTAACACTGTCACATTTCAAAGACAAATAATCTGAAACAGAATACCTATAATACTTTCAGAAAACAAATCCACTGAATATAGAAAAATATTCCAAATACACATGATTTGGAAATAATATTACATTTTATATTATCCAACTAACTGTTCCTCTCCATTAAGGATTATCATTTCTGATGAATATAATTCAGAGTAACGCTACTAATAACTTTGTAAAAAGCCTTTTTAAATGTGGCAGAATATAAACAAACAAAACACATGGGTATCATTAAACAGACTTAAAAAAAAAAATTCACGAATACTGTGCTCTCACTTTAGGCAATGGAGAGGTCCAGGAGACACTACTCGGTTGACGCTGGCTCCAGCCATGGTGTTCAACTGAACTTCAGAGATATAAAGTGTCACAGAAGAGGACTGCAGCCGCGTTTTTACAACTTCTAGTGGACATGTCAGAATAGCTCCTACTGTACCACCACATCTACAAAAAAATGAAAAGAACAAATCCATTTACTCCATAAATTAGTACACACATTTAGACTGTAAAATGAGTGGGCAACTGGGGCTTCACCAAGGTACTAAAGTGTTAAGATTTTTCATTTTAAAAGACTAAACAATTTTAATGTTTCATTTATTTGACTGCATACAAACACCTTTAGTAGCTAAAAAGAACTGAGCTTAATATTTACCTAGCAAGCATAATTAAAGAAGACTCCAAATGGCAGGTATTGTTACTAAAATCTACTGGGAAGTCACATCATAGTTTTAAATAGTATCCTAAGGGTTTATTTGGTGCTCCTCGCCCAGATATTATTTGTGGTTGTTGACACCTAGGATCCGCTATGAGGTATATTCTATCTCTCAAATTCCTCTATCTTTCAAAACTCAAGATATGTCTTCAGAGCAATAAAATTAATCACTGACAGATAATCATGTTTCCTATTTTAAATATTCAAATACTCAGAACTGTTTTACCTACAAAAAAAAAAAAGACATTTGTATCTCAACGTCAGTATTATTAGGCCCTCATATAGGAATCTGTACAAGGTAGGTAGGCTTAGCTAGAAGAATCCAATTTAAATAGAAAAACTGATCACCAAAACAAAATAAAAGCTCTTAACAAATGACATCATTTAAACTTTTTCAAGGAATATAAGATAGGCTGGAGTAATTATTCTTTTTAAATGCAAGAATGGGAAATAATTTTCTCTTAAAGCACTAACAGCTACCAAGTGAAACCTTGTGAAACCTTGAGAACTGCTTTTTAACCAGAGGAGAATCACTCAGGAGAGCTCTCACCATACAGTCAAAGAGAAAAGCAGACTAAATCAGAAGTAACCTGGACCTCCACGGCATTAAAGGAAGAAAAAGAAAAGCAGCCCCCCACAGAAATATACTAAACAATTCTACCTCCAGAATTAAAAAAAAAAGTGTGCGTGCGCGTCTATGTGTGTGTGTGTACATATATATGTGTATCACATAATAAAAAAAGCAGGCATGGCATCAGTATTACTCCCAATAAAATTTAAGACAAATCATTAAATAAGGTAGAGTATTTCATACTGATCTAACAGTACCTGCCATCAAGAAAATAAAACTGAAACAGATTTTATGCAACAAAAGTGAAAAATACAATAATAGAGAACATCCATATGTAAAATAAAACTTGACTCTTACCTCATACTGTATTTAAAATTTAACTCAGAATGAATCATAGACCTAGATATAAAACATGGAACTGTAAAACTTCTAGAAGAAAACATGTGGAGAAAAATCACCGACTTTGGGCTAGATAACAACAAAAAAATCATGAATCGTAAAAGAAAAAAAAAATGATAAACTGGACTTTACCAAAATTAAAAACTGTCACTTTGAAACTGTTAAGAAAATGAAGACAAGCCTACAGTCTGAGAGAAAATATTTGCAAAACACACATCTGATAAAGTGCTTATATTCAGAAACACCAACTCAATGATAAAAACAACCCAAAAGAAAGACTGGAACAAACACTTCACCAGATATATGGATGCAAATAAACATTGAAAGATTTTTTCAAAATCATTTATCAGGGAAATGCAAATTAAAACCACAACGAGCTATGATGACAATACATCTATTAATCGCTAAAACGAAAAAGAATGAGAAAGCCAAGTGCTGATAAAGACCAACTGGAAATCTCATACATTGTTGATGGGAATGCAAAATGGTAGTCATTTTAGAAAATGGTTTTAAAAAATACAAAAAACCCCAGAAAAAGCAGCTTGTTGGTTTCTTACAAAGTCCCACTCTTAGGTATTGACTCAGGAGAAATCCAGATACATGTCTGCACAAAAACCTGTCCATGAATATTTACCGCAGCTCTACTCTTAATAGCTCAAAACTGGAAACCTAAATGTCTTATCAACTGAAGGGATAAACAAGTTACGGTATATCATTATAACAGATTATCACATTCTGCAAAAAAAAAAAGGCGCAACAATCTGAATGAATCTCAAAAGCATTATGCTAACTGAAAAAAGTCAGGGACAAAAGGCTTTTAGTTTCAGGACATTTTTATTTTAATGACTTTTTGGAAAAGGCAAAACTAGAACAGAAATGAGATCAGTGATTACCAAGAGGTAGTGAAGTACGTAGGAACTGACTACAAAGGGCATGAAGAAATTCTTAGGATAAAAGAAATGTTCTGTATCTTGATTATAAGAGTAGTTACAGTACCTTATACATTTATGAAAACTTACTGAACTATACACTTAACAAATTTTATTTGGTGAATTTTATTGTATACCCTGATAAATCTGATGAAAAAACGGAGTATGTGAAAACTAGTAACAAATGTTAAGTATATGAACTACCTGGAATGGAATACAATTACATTATGTTAAAATTTTAATCATAATAAACTAAATTTTCCTAAAAACTCCACTTAAAGAGTTTTAAATAGGAAATTTAAAAAATTAAATCCCCAAAAGGAAAGATCAAAACCATAATTATATTGTCAGAAATCAATACATCAATTAGATAAATAGTAGGGCTATAAAAGATTTGAAACAAAATTAACTAGATCGAGGGAGACTCCATACTCAGTAAATAAGGAACAGGTTTAATTTTTAAACAGCTACAGAGGGCGCCTGGGTGGCTCAGTTGGTTGGGCGACTGCCTTCGGCTCAGGTCATGATCCTGGAGTCCCGGGATCGAGTCCCGCATCGGGCTCCC